TGTCACCCTCTGCTACTGTTTGTAGCCGCAGTCCTAGCCCTAACCTTTGCCATAGGCTTGACAGCCATCGTCCCCACAGGCTGACCTGTCTTAACAAACTGCTCTTAGCACTCTGTTCCCCTTCTGGTAGGATGCTTTTCTGCTACCTCCTGCTTCTAACCTGATCCCCTTTTATGGTTCAAAGCCCCCACATTTCCTCCCAAAAGTCTTAACATACCTCTCCCCAGTAGTTCTTCTAGCCTATTTTTTAAAGATAATCCCCATGTCTCTCATGTTGGATCTGCACACATTCCTCTTCTGAGGGCTGGCAAGCCCTCCCCATCCCCACCCTGCTCTGGGAATGGGTCCATGTTCATATGACCAGGACCAGAACCTTCCTGGCAGAACCCCAGGAAATAGATCTCTGTTGGAGCTTCCCGGAAGAAATGCTGGCATGGCTAGAGGACCAAACGCTGATATTGTATAGAGGATCCACCTGTTAGACCTGTCCAAGGCATCTCTGCTACAGCCTCGCTAAGCAGTCAAGCCCCTTTAAGCATCACTCACACTTCCTTCCCTTCTTCCCACAATGTGGGTTCATTTGCCCCAGGACACCTGTGACCTAATGTCCCCCTTCCAGGCCCACCCCCTACTGGCCACCACCACTCCTCACACCCAGTGGAAGTGGCTGCCATGGCATTTACTCATCACATTCCTTGCCACATGAAACCGTAAAGGTTGTCTCCTAGCATATGCTCGCGTGTATAGGACCAGAATCAGGGCATTCTTTCTCCGTGGTAACTGTGGGGAGCAACTGGGAGCAACTCGGACTAGACTAAGTTACTGGAATTAACTTCCTGCTCCATCCTTTACCCTGGACCCATCTCTACTTTCTGACCCTCTAAACTACCACATCAAGAGAGATTTTAGCCAATAAACTGTGGGACCTGCTCCTGATTGGAGGAGAGCAGCGTACTCGGCGTGTGGGTAGCAGAGTTGGGATTGGTGGAAGAGGACTATAAAGGAGGAGAGAGACGGCATGCACCAGGAACATCAAAGGGGAACACCTGTGCAGCCCCCGAGAGAGCCGGCCGGCGGTGTGCCGCTCCCCCGCGGAAGTGGGGAATGTGGCAGGGGGAACCGCCCTTCCACGGAGGTGGAAGGGTCGGTAGCCAACCCGGGAAGAACCAGCAGCAAACCCGGGGAGGGCCGAGCAGACAGAAGAACAACGCAGGGTCCTGTGTCGTTCCTCCACGAAGACGGGGAGCGACAGTAACCAGGCGTGCATCTGCCTCCCCATCACTGCACAGGGACTTGTACACTTGCCATCCTACTTCCTGCTCCATCCTTTACCCTGGACCCATCTCTACTTTCTGACCCTCTAACCTACCACATCAAGAGATTTCAGACTTAACCTCCTTGATAATCTCGCTGGAGAAAGAGGAAATGGAACAGGAATGACCAGACTGGCCATTTCAGTAGACAAGGCAAATAAAATTGAAGATTTATCGCCCAATCTCAAAGAAAACATAAATGCACAGAAGCTGTCTTGTCTCCAGGTTCAAGTGGATTCATGGGCAGGAGTAGAAATCCAGAACCACTGGAGGCTAGACCTCCTCAAAGCCAAGAGAGGTGGACTTTGCCTCTTTTTGGCTTTTACACCATAAATTGGGTATGATAAGAGATGGGATCAAATTTTTACACCAATACATTGGGTATGGTAAGACATGGGATCAAATGCATAAAAACTGTGCTAATGAGATGTATTCTCAAGGTCACTCTGCCTCGTTTTGGCCATCTTTCCCACCATGGGCAATGTCTCTAATATCTCCTTTTATCCTCATACTCATAGTGCTCTATTTCTACCATGCATAGTTAACATATTCCAAAGGTTCTTGCAGGAACAAATGACGGCTCTATCTCAAGCCATCTACAGGAACATCAGACTTCTCTCCTTCTTCAATCAATCTGACCCTGAGTATAGGTTTTGCCCCACATCTACACCCAGAATCAGCAGGAAGCAGCCGGAAAGACACCAGTGCCCCTCTCCTTTTCTGTACTCAGAGTCAGGATGGATGGAACGAAGACACGAGTCTCAGTCATTCCAGCTCACTGCCCCAAAGATAGATAAAATCAGAATTTACCCCTTGTCCCTGAATCCCAATTCAATCTCATACCCTCTTGTTCTCTACCCTACCCCCTTCATTCTTCTCCAGGTGTGGAGACATTGGCCTGGTCATGCATTTTTGAAAAGTGCCTGTTAAGGATGACATGGCATTTTTGGATTTGTTTCCCTCTTGGCTTAACCAAGAAATGTTGACATTTCAGTCTGGACCAGCATCACTTGCAGAGACTCCTGTAGGGAGGGTGGGCAGAGGAACTGCAGTCCCCCTCACCGCCTAGCTGGGTGCTTTGGTTTGCTCTCCCAAGTGAGGGTCAGTCCAAGGATGCTAGCCCAAGTGGCCCCGCCTCCTTTCTGTTGCTTCCTTGGCTGCCAGAGGTCTCCTATGAACTTGCTCTCCCTGCTGCTGGAGGGAGAACAAAAAGCAACCCCTTGCATTCTTTTCCAATAGCTCAGCCCCACCCCTTGCATTCTCCCCCAGCCAACCAACCAGCCAGCAGAGAGGAAGGCCAGCTAAGTTTGAAAAGCCTGTGCCCGCAGAAAACCCAAGCAAAGCAGCTCACTCCCATGTAATGCCCTCCAGCTTAGGACCCTCAGCTGCCCCCGCCTGTAAGAGAGCTCTGTGTGTCCACTCCCTGCACATGCCATAGTCACTCCCTGTCAGGTTTGCTCCTGCATAAACCTGTTCTGGCTGTTAGTTTCTGTCTTGCCTCCTCTTGGCCTTGCTCATCTATCCTGACTCTCACCCTTGCACACCTCCCTGGGTGTTCTCATTCTACAGACAGAGAAGTGAAAGATTCAAATTCAAACCCTGGAGCTCTTTTAAAAAAAAAAAAAAGATTTATTTATTTGAAAGTCAGAGTTACACACAGAAGCAGAGACAGAGAGAGACATAGAGGTCTTCCATCGCCTGGTTCACTCCCTATTTGGCTGCAAGGGCGAAAGCCAGGAGCTAGGAGCTTCCTCCGGGTCTCCCATGTGGGTGCAGGGGCCCAAGGACTTGGGCCATCTTCCACTGCTTTCCCAGGCCACAGCAGAGAGCTGGATCAGAAGTGGAGCAGCCAGGACTCGAACCGGTGCCCATATGGGATGCCGGCACTGCAGGCGGTAGCTTTACCTACTAGGCCACAGCGCCACACCCATGGCCGCCCCCAACCCCCAACCTTGCAGTTCTTAACCTGATTCTCTTGCTCTGCTAACATAATGGGAACAAGGGAGGGGTCCTTGGATCCAGCAGGGGAAGCTCTCCAGCCCCTCCTTTAGAGCAGGCTGGGCCAAGAAAGTGTGCTCCTTCCCAGAGCACCTTTCTGCCTACACCTGGCTCCAAGCTCTTCAAAGTCCTAACAGGGAAAGACACAGCATGGGCTTTAAAGGTTTGAGTGGTTCTTTGCAGCACAAGTGGAAGAAACTAGGATTTATCTCAATTCCTTGGTTCTGAGAAAAATACTCCAGTGGCTCTTCTAATAATGAAATGTTAGGCTAAATTCTCCTCCAAAAATTGAGATACTTGGAACCTGAGCCTCCTAACAGGACGAGAGGTAAGCCATGGGAAAGATGGGGCTCTACCGATGTGCAAATAGAATTTGAGCCCCTGTAGGCAGAGAGCAAGGATCTAAAGACAAATGTTCTTTCTTACACAAACTGTGTGTGATTCTAGGAAAGAAAAATGACAAGAGAGGAAGATGGGAAGGCTGCAGAGGCAAGGGGAGATTCTGGCACCATCAGACCTCTCCTGGGGCTGATGAAGGTGCACACGGTTGAGAGTCGGCCCTGGGAAGACCTAGGGGAAGAGGTTTCAGAACACAGGGAGTGCTCCTGATTCTGTCTCTCACAGCGGAAGTCACTAGCCAGGAAGCCAACATAGGCAGAAGCAACCAGGCAGTCCTCTGAGATGCCTGAGCTCCTCCCTGGACAGAGGAGGGGGGCTGGAAGAGTCACACTCACAGGAGCCTAAGAGGTTTGTCTCACTGTGCTCTCCCACATGGGCAAGGCTGGGAGCCCAGCCATGGTCCTGAGAGGGGCCTCTTCCCAGGAGTGAGAGGCACAGCATTATGCAAGGAGATTTACTAAGCTAGCATTCTCAAAGGCTTTGCTCATTTTTCAGATATGTATGATCCTATTTAGGTTACACTATCACAGCCAACAGTTACAAATAACAACTGTTTTGCTAATTTGATAGGAAAACTAGGTTTCAATGTTTATTAATGTGTGTTTTGGGTTATTTCTGAAGTGAGAAGTAATTACAAAGTTTAATTGGACATTTGTGTTTTGTTTGGTTTTTGTGTCACCTGCTTGTGTTACCCGCCTAATGCGAAATACATTTTAAAGCTATGATCAGTGATGAGTGTTCTTCTTTACTGGGTAATCTACTGAGGTAAAATCACATAACATAACGTTAGCTTTTTTTTTTAAATAAAGGAAAATTCCATGGCATTTAGTAAATTCACAATGACAGGAACCATCACCACATGTTTCAGCGCCTTGAGATGGCTTGATTATTTGACAAAGGAAACTTGATTCTCACCACCTTGACTCAGTTGCTAAGAACAAAACATGCAGGCTGCAGACTGCCCATTGCCACAAGGAGGCCGTCTGGACGACAGTGACACGCAGGTGAGGCAGCCCAGAGCCCACCCAGCACTGCTCTGGTCCAGTGTCACTTTCACAGAAACAGAGCGCGTGCACCAAGGGACCAGAGACGACAGTGTTCTCCTTCTCACGCCCCATTTTTCTTTGTGAAAAGAAGAAATCCCTTTGAATAGACAATAACAAATAAACCTCTTGTACTCATAAACCTCTGGTTGAATCTTCCTGACACTCGGAGTTTCTGTTTCGCAACGTGGGCTCCCTGGACCCCATCCCAGTGTGCTCAGCCTCCTGCCCCTCTGGCTCACGGGACCTGTGTCCAGTGTTTGGTGTGGAAGACACATTGCAAGCATCTTTGGGACTGTCTGAGGCTTCTTCTGATGAAAAATGCATTGAAAAGAAAATTCTGGCATGAAGATGAAAACTATCAAAGGTACAAATACTTAAAAAGAAACAACTCACAGGTTTTGATTTTCCAAAGTGACTCTGGGCACTGTGCCCCACTTCTCAGGGGGGCATGTAGGAACAGTCCCTGAGGTCTGAGGCTCCCACACCTGTCTGCACCAGCCCAGCAGTGAGCAGTCAGCTTTGCAGGCCACACAGCTCAGTCACAAGTTCTGTGTGCTGGTGCTGGTGCTGGTTTTTAACCTCCCTCTAAAGCTATGAAAACTTGGGGCAGTGTTGGGGCACAGTGCGTCAAGCCTCCACCTGCAATGCCTGGATCCCGTATCGGTGCCATTTCAAGTCCTGCCGGCGCCACTTCTGATCCAGCTCTCTGCTAATGCATCTGGGAATGCAGCAGAAGATGGCCTAAGTGCTTGAGATGGAGTTTCAGGCTCCTGGCTCTGGCCTGAATCTGGGGAGTGAATCAGTAGTCTAGATGGAAGATCTCTCTCTCTCCCCCTCTCTCTGTAATCTTGCCTTTTTTTCTTTTTTTTTTCTGACAGGCAGAGTAGACAGTGAGAGAGCGAGACATGAGAGAAATGTCTTCCTATGCCGTTGGTTTACCCTCCAATGGCCGCCATGACTGGTATACTGCGGCCCGCACACCGCGCCAATCTGAAGCCAGGAGCCAGGTGCTTCTCCTGGTCTCCCATGGGGTGCAGGGCCCGCGCTTTGGCCATCCTCCACTGCACTCCTGGGCCACAGCAGAGAGCTGGCCTGGAAGAGGGGCAACGGGACAGAATCCGGCACCCTGACCGGGACTAGAACCCGGTGTGCTGGCGCCACAGGCAGAGGATTAGTCTATTGAGTGTGGCGTTGGCCCTTGCCTTGCAAATATGAAAAATAAATGTTAAAAGAAAAACAAGTATGAAAACCATTCTAATTTCTGGGCCATATAAAAGCAGGCCTGTGGAGGTGTAGTGGCTGACATGCCAACTGGGGTACCTGCTTCCCAAGGAAGAGCACATGGATTTGGAGACCTGGCTCTGGCTCTGACTCTGTTCCCTGCATTAGCCTGGCCCAGCCCTGGCTGCCTTTAGCATTTGGGGAGTGAATCCAGGGATGGGAGATCTCTCTCTCTCTCTCTCTCTCTTTCTCTCTTTCTCTCACTCTGTCTCTCCCTCTCTTTCTCCCTCTCTCCCTCTTTCGCTCTCCCTCTCCCCCTCTCTTCCTTTTCTCCATGATCACAAATAAATAAAAAGAAATAGATAAATAAATAATTCCTTAAAACAACTCAAAAAGAACAGATTTGGCCTGTGGGTTTATTCATGCCTGCCTTGGGACCAGGGACAAAGCATGGACAGAGTTGGGAGAGTGGGTTTCAACAAGGACACGTTGCCTTGGTCAAGCCTTCACCTCTGCTGGACTGCAATGCCATTGCTGCAATGATCCTGGGACTGTCCCCAGAACAAAACTAAGTGTATCTGCATATCCATGGCTGTCACCAGGCATGAGCCCAGAGTCCACTGCAACACCTGCATGTCACCTGGGCCTCAGGTCCCCCACAGCCCTGCTGTTCCAGGCCTGGCACCCCTCCCCCCTCCCCACCACCATTTCTTCTCCCAGGGGACAGGACACACATGAGTGGGAGAAGACAGAGCCCAGAAGAGCAGTGTCTGCCTGCAAGAAGCACACCCACCCACCTGAGACACGACGTCCGGCTTCTTGCAGTTGATCCCGCCAATGAGCACCATGTTGGGCATCACCGGCCTGGGGTACTCAAACACAAAGTCGTATCTTAGCAGCCACACGGGGTCCTTCTGAAATAAGGTGGGCAGGTCCACTTTCCTCTTGAGGAGCTCTACCGCCAGGTCCTCATACTTTGAATACAGACAGTAAAATAGAGGGACCTCCAACAAGTTAACGAGGAAGTTGACCACGCGCTGGGGGAAGCTCATCTGGTCGGAGAACTTTGTGTAGCACCGGGGGATGTACGACACCGGGTTGGGGCTTCCGCCAAACAAATGCTCCAGGGAACAGGGGAAGCCCCTGAACAGGTACACGGAGGGCAGGCCCAGGTACTCAGCCAGGATCACACCACAGGGTAAGAATGGGTCTGTGAAAAGAGCATCGAACTTGCCCGCCCTGAGGAAATCCAAGGTGTCGCCGTGTCTCAGCAGGCTCTGGCAGTTGATGAAGTACATGTCAATCACAACCATGAGATTCCTGTATTCCGTCTGAGGCCCGCTCAGCCAGGACCTGTCAGTAAAGTGCTTTTCTCCAAAGGTGCGATACCGATAACTCTGCTCCTCCTGGTCAAACGGCACTGGATAGATTCTCCTCGTGTAGAACCTGGATTCTCTCAAGAGCAAGTTGACTTCTGGCACCAGCACCACGATTTCATGCCCCCTCACCCCAAGAGCCTCAACTATGTCCTGCATGCTAAGCCAGTGGCTTCCATCCTGGGGCACCACCAGCAGCCTGTCACCCACCACTGTGCCCCAGAGTGCCACGAAGAGAACCCCCGCAGACGCTCTCTGAGCTGCAGAAAGCAGGCAGGCCATCCTGGAGAGAGTTAGAGTGACAACAACAATAAATATTCATACACCCTGCTCTGCACCGCAGGCCTTCTGGCTACGTCCCCTGAACCAAACAGTGCTTTCACAGACTCTGTGTCCTTCTACCTGGCTCGGAATCCTGCCCTTTTATTTGAATGAACCTATATCAACCATTAATCATTTTTTAAGCAAGCTCTCTTGAACCAATTAGGGCCCCATGAGCTTTCACCTGAGACTTTAGTTTACTTTTTCACCTCCACCCATCTGCCTCTCTCTCTGACACACTCCTTGCAACAGTCTGAGGGCAATTTGGAAAAAGCCATGATCCTCCCCACCCACCTTTCTGCCAGCTCTGAAACCCCCTGCATTCCTCATCACTGGTGTTGTCCATCCTTGAATGAAGGCGAGTGCTTCTGTCATCTTTTTAAGCAACTTTTCTCAGAAGGAAAAGGAAGCATTAACAGGTAACAAATTCAAGATTCAAAGCAGCACAGTGGAGCTCCACTCTGAAAGTCTGGTTAGCACAGTGATGGCTGGATGAAAAGCTGCCCTGCTGAGGGGTGGGGGCACTGAAGAAGCCAAGGTAACTTCCACCCCCATGACCTGAGCTCCAGGTGTATCCCAGCTCAGTGTCAGCCACAGCACTCCAGTGACTGCCTTGCCATCCCTACCCCACCTCTGTCAGCACAGGTGGAGAAAGATTCCACCTCCTGGGGAAGAGAACAGAGAAGCCGCAGACCTTGCCTTGGAATTCAGAGCAGGGCCCACCATGATGAATCTTAACACTGAACATACTGAACATTGAGGAGGAACATACCTCAACATACACAAGCCCACCAACAACACCAGACTGAATGAGGGAAAACTGATCTCTAAATCTAGAGTGAAAACGGATGTCAGCTTTCATCACTTTTATTCAACATAGTCTGGAATTTCTAACCAGGGTAGCGAGCAAAGAAAAAACTAAAAGACATCCAAATTTCAAAGAAGGGAACTAAATTGTCATTGTTTTCTGATAATGTGATCAAAGATAGAAAGCCCCAAAGACCCTACCAAAAAACAACCAGAACAAATAAATCAACTCCGCAATGTCGAAGGAGACATAATCAACATACAAAACTCAGTAGCGTTTCTATGTTGTGATAGAGTGTTATCAGAAAAAGAAGTGCAATCAGCAACTCCATTTATAATAGCAACAGTAAGACAAGACTAATAAATTTCACCAAAGCAACAAAAAAAGAACACAATAAAGAGGATGAAAAATTGTTGGAAGAAATCGAAGAGAATACACACAAGAAAGGAATGATAACTGTGACTGTGCACTGGGAGAAGCAATATTGTTAAAATGTCCATACTGCCTAGAGCAGTCTATAAATTCAACGTAATCCTTATCAAATACCAATGGCATCCTTCCCAGGACAAGATAGGGCCATGCTAAAAGTCATAGGAAATCACAAAATCCCCTCAATCGCTAAGGCAATCTTGAGCAAAGAACAAAGCAACAGGCACTACACTGTCTCACTCAAAATATGCTGTACTTATAGCAATCAAAACAATATAGCATTGATATAAAAAAAATACATACAAAAACCCATGTGACAAAATAGAAAGCCTAGAAATAAACCCAGGCCCTGATATCCAAGGGATTTTCCACAAAGTGCTAAGATCACACAGTGAAGAGAGGACAGTCTCTTCAATCAGCAGTGCTGGGAAAACTGGAGATCCGCATGGGGAAGAGGGACGTAGACCTACACATGCAAAAGGGCGTTCAAAATGGGTCCCGGCAGTTCATGGAAGACACACACTGTGAAAGTCAGGAGAAAACCCTGGAGAAATGCTTCACGACATGGCACTGGGAAGCTGCTGCTGCTTTTTTTTCTAATAAGACCACCTTAGGAGGAATAAGACCAAAAACAGCCCAATGGGATCACATCTAAGTGAAAAACTTCAAAGAAGATAATCAACAGAATGGAGAAACAACATACAAAATGGAAGAAAATATCTGGAAACTACACATCTAAAAAGGAGTTAATATCCAGAATATATAAGGAACTCAAGCAACCTACTATCAAGAAACCAATAACATGCTTGTAAGTTGGCCAAGTGACATGAACGTGTTACTGGAGAATGGCAGGGTTCTTGTCTTTGAGCATGAAAGAATTCAGGCATAAGACAGACTAGTGGAAAGTAAAAAGTAGCAAAGTTTATTAGGGAAGGGACATCCGTAAAGACGGAAGGGCACCTCTCCAGACAGGACCTGAGAGAGAGTGCAGTCGCTCGGACTGGGGGGAAGGAGCAAGGTTACATGGTTGAGTGGAGAGATTACACCTGGGCAGGCAGGCAGGCAGGCAGGCAGGCTACTCAGCATAGAGGAAGAGGGCTGAGCGAGCTGTCATGTTGATGCCGGGTGTGTGTGTGTGTGTGTGTGTGTGTGTGTAGGAGATGGGTCTTTTCTTCACACATCTCCTGAAACAAAGGATTTTATGGATGTAGACATTAAGGAGCTCCTGAGTTTTCCCTGAAGGCATCAGACAGGAGGAAGCCTCGCTGGCATCATCCTGGGTTCAGAGGAAGGGTGAGCAGGACCCCCTGGAGAATCAGGATCCTGAGCAGGGTGTTTGAGATGCAGATACTGGGCTGCATCTGGGAGACTGTGGAAGATTTGTCAGGCAGGAGGGGCGGGGACCCCCACCTGGCAGGTTATCAGGTAGAAGGGGGCAGGGCAGGATGCGAGTACCCAGCTGCCCCTGAAACATTACCAGGATGGCTTTGAGATGCATGTGCTGGACATAGAAGTCTTCTCTTTAGGCCCGTTACACACACATAAGCTCATATCTAATTCCTACCTAACAAATGGAGAATTCTCAAAAGAAAAGACAAACATCCAAGACACACACACACACACAATCAACATCACTAATCATTGTGGAAACAAATTTAAACCATAATGAATATTGCTTCACTCTAGTTAGAATGACTATTATCAAATTTCGCAAAAGATAACAGGTGCCAGTGAGGATGTGGAAAAGAGAGAACACTAGAACACTATTCACGAGAGTACAAATTAGCATAGCCATTATGGAAAACAGGATGGATTATTCTCAAAAAATATTAAAGCTGGAACTACCATACGATATAACAATCTCTCAAACTGGAATGGTGTCTGAGACCCGGCTGCTCCACTTCTGAACCAGCTCTCTGCTATGGCCTGGGAAAGCACTAGAAGGTGGCCCAGGCACATGGGCCCTTGCACTCGCATGGGAGATCCAGAAAAAGCTCCTGGCTCCTGGCTTCAGATCTCTGCACCTCTGGCCATTTTGGCCAGTTGGGGTGTGAACCTCTCTCTCTCCCTCTCCCTCTCTTCCTCCCTTTCTCTCTCCCACTCTCCTTCCCTCCCTCCCCCTTCTCTCTCTGTGTAACTCTGACTTTCAAATAAATAAATAAATCTTTAAAAAAAGAAAAATCTGTGTGTGTTTGAGTGTGAGTATACACACACACACACACAAATACTATGACGGTTATAAGGAAAAGGGGTGCAGAACTGAGAGGAGACAGGATATGAACTCACAGCCAAAATGAATTTATTGAAGAAAAATAAATGGCAGAGATTGGTGACCAACTGCCAGTGTGCACACAGACTGAACACATGGTAGAGGGCGCAGACCCCAGCGGACTGGGCTTTCTATCTTAGGGTGGGCTAGAGGTCTGCAGGGGAGGGAGAGTAACTGATGAATCTGAGTTGCTCTGCACAGATTCTTCAAGCTTGGCTTTGCCTTCGAAACCTGGAGAACAATGCAGGGGCAGGGTGGGGACGATACAGGTTGTGAGACTGGACTGGGATGCAGGGGTAAGAGAAAAATTCAAAGGATGTATGGATAAAATGTAAATTCTGATTTTATCTATTTTCGGGAAAGGAGCTAGATAGAATGGCTGCGGAGTATGCCTTTGTTCCATCAAGGGTACTTCCCAAGGGTTGTAGAAAATGCAATGAAGACAAAAGTTCATTTTGTTACAAAGATTTCTGGAATGCACACATAGTTTTTCGTAACTGGCAATTTCCACAAATTTTTTGAAGACCCCTTGTATTTAGCCATAAAAAAGGACTAAACCTTGTCATTGGTGAAAATGTAGATGGAACTGGAGGC